TTAGCAACTTCTCTTGATTCAGGCAGAGGCCACTGGCTGCCGTCATGCCTACTTCCTGCCCCCTCTCACCCCAGGGCAGCAAGGGAAGGACCAGGATGGGCGTTCCTCAGAAGAAAGGCCTTCTCACAGGACAGGGGGCTAGTCTGAGACCTGTATCCCCGCCCCCTCCCCGCTGCACCCAGGGTTTAGTGGTCAAGCAACTTTTCTGACAGAACAGCCGGGGGAGCTCCGGGGCATGTGACATTTGGGGGACTCCAGGAAGAAATCCTGAGAGGTCGTGTAGGCCATCCCCCTGCGGCCAGGTAGGCCGTGTTTAAACCCTCCTAGTCAATTGGAAGTTTAGTCTTACAAAAGCTCACCAAGAGAGGAAATCAGAAACACATCTTCTATTACCCCCAAATACACAGCCCCCCATGATAAACTGATTAAATAGCCCACTGCTATCGAATAACGATAGCCAAGAGGAACAGAAACTACACGCTGAATACACGTTTCAGTACCAGGCACTGTGCTCGCACCTTGTTTGCTTTTGTAGATACTATGTGCCCATTATTCAGATATGTTCACCGAGACTCACAGAGGTTAAGTAACTTGCCCAGAGTCACGCAGATGGTGCATGTGTAGCCCAGACTCAAACTCAGATCCTTTTGCAATACAAACCTGCCCTGTTTTGATCCGGGGCCCCGACATCATCTCAGCCCCTGACTTGCTGGGTCACTCTGCCTAAGTTCTCTTCCTTCATGGGGTCTCAATTTCCTTCTCTGGGAGACGAAGGGGCTCAACACAATGACCTCCGTGGACCCTCAGGCCTGTAAATTCTCTGGTCTGGGATTTGGGAGTGACCGTCCTCTGATGGGGTCTCCCTTGGTCTGGGGTGACCTGACTGATGCAAAGCATTCTCCCCATTTCAACAAGCCTAGAGCCTGTTCCTGCCCTCCAGGTACACAGGTGCAGCAGTAGAGTCTTTGGGGGGGGAGAGGGCAGGTTGTCCTAAGAGTCCTCAGGGACAGTCACGGAGAGGGTGAGGGACTTTGGGGATGAGGGGTGCGTGCGGTAGGGTGGGGGAGAGTCTGGACGCAGGAGGAGCTGGGCAGAGGATCCACCAGGGAGACACCTTCCCAGACTCTAAGACAATGGAACCCACAGCCCAGGCTTGGGGGCTGCCCGTGGTAAGAGCTCTCCGCCAGGGACCTGAACAACCAGGCAGACAGGGCCAGAGTGGGAGGAACAGAAAGCCCCTTGACCTTCGGAGCAGGGGAGGCCAGTGATCCTCATTTGCCGTTAGCAGTCTTCTGTGGGCAGCTGGCTTTGTCCAGCCTGGCACGTGCCCTCCCCTCCGTCCCGCAGTCCTGGGGCCACAGCCTTGCTCCCGCCACAGATGTCCCCACGCAGCCTATCTCGGATTCCACGGCTGGGGAATGGGGATGGCAGGGGGCACCCTGGCAGGGCAGGCGACACGCTGGGCTCCCAGCTGCCACTCTGGGGCCTGCAGCTCTCGGCAGCCGTCTCCGGGGAAGTCCTCACATTTCCCCACCTGGTGCCCACCCCGTGGCGGCTGGGACCCCAGCCTGCTCCATGTGATGCCACACAGGAGACTCTCCTTGGGGAAATGCCCAGCAGCCAAGGGCACAGCACGGGTCCTAGGGGGGACTATGCAGGTGCAGGAGCCATCAATATCGAAGGGCTGCTCCCGTTCTATTGCTTCAGGGCCTGAGCGCTGGGAGATTAACAGCAATTTAACTGTATTCACCGTCTCAGCTTGAGCCCAGGCCTCTTGACAGGCCCGGCCACCCAGACCTGAGCCTGTGCCCGGCTCTGGTCTCTCCCCCACCAGCCCAAAGCCATTTTTACGGAAGATGGAAATTACTCCACAGGGACAGGCTCATAGCAAGAAAGAGAGCAAGCGTCTGTGCATTTCTGGGCCCCGGTGTGGGCA